ATATATATATATATATACAGGCAAAAGATAAAATACGCGCTCTGGATACAGGAACAAAAAGACAGGGGTATAAACTTTAGCAACAAATATGTATAGAAGAAAGAATTAAGAAGTTCAGAGAAATTTTAAGTTCCCAGAAATTTAAAGAAACAAACCTGGAAGATGTATGGAGGGAGCTAAAAGAAGAGATAAAAGCAGCTACACAGGAAAAAGAAATATTTATTAAAGAAAGAACACTAGGTGAAAAAAGTGGTAGAATAAAGAATGCAAAGAGAAGAAGAGAAAACTCAGGAGATTTCTCAGAAGAGCAAAAAGGACAGAAAACTATTAGAAGAATATAGATATCACAGACAACAATATCAGAATTTCTGCAAGAACAGGAAAGAAAAATTTAGAAAAAAAGAAGAAGAAGAAATAAGGAAAATCAGTACGGAAATGGAAGCATGGAAATACATAAACATGGAAAAAAGAAAAAGAGAAAACATTTCAAGACGAATCACACAAGAGGAATAAAGACAACATTTTATGGGATTTCTCCAGGGAATAGAGGAAAGAAAAATGACAACAAAAGAGGAAGAACAAATATCAAATGCAGGAGATGAGACCACCCTAACGGAAAATAAAGAAACTGAATCAAATAAAGAAACTGAAGAAGAAGAAAGCCGCGGGCAAAGATGAAGTAAAAAGCGAAACCTAGTTATACAGATAAGGGAAAACGCAAGATTAAAGATCGTACAGAGAGTCTGGAGAGAAAAAGGTTTCCCAAATAGTTGGAGGAAGGGAGTGATAGTTCTTATATATTAGATGTACAAAAAAGTTCTGAGCTTTAGATTTCATACAATCGAAATAACAATTTAAATTTTATATATCTTTCCGCCCTTTTGCGGTTTTAAAACGTTGACATTTGGTCTTCTAAAATGCCATACGGATTGGCGTTTGATGCACATAACCTCAAAAATCAAAGTAGTGTTTATGATGGCATAACAAAAGAGTATATTCGATTTTCCATCCACTTCGCGTTTCATCTGAAAAAAATGCTGCTGAAGCCACTGCAATGATTTGTGCTGCATATGGAGAGTACGCTGTAAGCCATACTATATGTAAAAGATGGTATCAAAAATTTCGCCAAGGAGATTTCAGTCTTGAAGATGAACCGCGTACTGGACGCCCTCAAAAGATTGAAACGGACGAATTGCAAGCACTGCTGGATATAAACTCTGCGCAAACTGAAAAGGAACTTGCAAAACAGCTTGGCGTTACGCAGCAAACCATTTCCATACGTTTACATATGATGGGAAAGGTTCAGAAGGAAGGCAGATGGGTTCCGCATGAATTGTCCGAAGACAACAAAAATCGTCAGCGTGACACTGCACTCACTTTGCTTTCAAAGTTCCGGAAAAAAGATTTTCTGCAGAAAATCATTACAGGCGATGAAAAGTGGATTCTTTATGATAACCCTAAACGTAGAAAACCATGGGTTGACCCTGGTCAACCTTTGACATCGACGCCAAAGCCCAATATCCACGTCAAGAAAGTTTTGCTCTCTATCTGGAATTGGAAAGGTGTGTTGTATTACGAGTTGTTACCGGGTGAAACAATCACGGCAGACCGCTACCAACAACAATTGACCAATTTGAGCGATGCATTAGAAGAAAAGAGGTCATTTACTGGCCAAGGACGTAAAATGATCTTGCTTCATGACAATGCTCGATCACATGTTGCGAAAGCGACTCAGGACCATATCTTTGCGTTAGGCTGGGAACTTCTCTCGCACGCGGCGTATAGCCCAAACATGGCGCGTTCCGATTACTACCTATTCCGGTCGCTGCAGCATCATTTGGCTGATACATTTCGTGAGATTTGAAGACATACGAAAATGCATTGATGATTTTATCGCTTTGAAGCCGGTGAGCTTCTATCGTCAAGGAATTCGCAAGCTACTCGAAAGATGGCAAAAGGTCGTTGATGCAAACAGGGAATATTTCGCTGATTAATATTTTTTGTTTGTTTTTGAATAAAGATTGAATTTTACAAAAAAAAAGCTCAGAACTTTTTTGTATACCTAATATATTGAATTATTGAGATAATACTGAATTTACTCAAAATATCCCAGATATACTGCGAATATAATTGGCGAATATATTGAAGACATCTTGGAATATACTGGTAGAGCTATTTCAGTAACAAGATGATGTCATTATGAAAATGATTTAACGTCATTTTTCGTCATTCGATGTCAGTATACTAAAAAACAACGTAAAATAAATGTAACATTTGTTACGAAATGTTATTGTCATAAATATATTGTCACTTAAGCGTCATTTTTAAGTTATTTTTAATGACTATAATACCACTCATCTATTCTGAGAACATCTAACGGGATATCATACAAGTATATTCGAGATATTCTCCAAACATACGAAATACGTACCGGGACATACTGTGGAATGTACTTAGATCGTTACTACCTCACTAATCTAATCCCCAGTATGTACTGGAGAATATCTCGCAGTATGGCCATAGGATAAAAAATAATTTAAAAACAGTATTGTTGCGGCCGTGCGGTGTTCCGTTCGGCGCTGAAATTAATCAATATCAATCGATAAGAGTTTGAATAGAGGATCGGCCCTTGGCAACGCTTCGTTCTCCGACTGTTTTACAGATTTCACGGCCAGATTCCGCGGTGGCCGGACGCGTTTCTGTACCGTTGGTTTAATAAAGAGCGAGCTTTTCTTTAAACAGTGTTCTTCCTTTCTGAAAGCGCTCCGCCGAGTATCGCGATCTCGGGAAGTAACGCCGCGAACGCGACAGTATTATAGTTAGAGAAGAAACAAAAAGACAGCTAAGGATAGAAGGATAAAAGAGCAATTCAATTTAAAGAAAAAATTAGGGAGAATTCGGATAATAAAATATTGATAGAATGCTTTAGGAAATTAGAGAGAAACAGCGAAAATAAGAAGAGATGAAAGTCGGAAAGAGAAATGTATTTTGGAAGGACGGAATATCGTGAAGAAAAGTTAAAAATCTTAGGAAGAACGCGAGGTTATGAGCATACTAATAACAAGGGACTTAGAAATTCAAAAACAAATACAACATAACAAAATCCAAGATTCGAAATATGGGAAAAGATATAAAGAACTATGTATGTTAGGGATATCCGAATATTTAAGGGAAGATAGTCATAAAAATTTTCAAAGAATTATTGCGAAATTTAGATATGAAAACGAAGAATTAAGTAATAGATAATGACGCGAATAGGATAAGAACGTATGTTGTGCCATACTGAGATTGAAACATTAAAACATTTAGCGAAAATGTATAGTAAAGATAAGAAATTACATAAGAATAAGTCAGCAGCTAGGAGAAAAATGGAAAGGAATCAGTTGGATGAAGAAAATCGTAAAAACAAAGAAAGAGAACAAACCCAAAGAAAGTACGGAAAAGTAAGAAAATAGGCAGATAGCAAAGTCAGAAAGAGATTTAACCAAAATTAATAAGCTTAAGAAAATACTTATATATCATGTTAATACATCTTAAATTATATTGTTATGTAAGATCGATGTAGAACCC